GGTTAACCGTTACGTAGTCAGGTTCCCTGTTTTCTCCGTGCCGAAGCTCTGCTGTCTGCCACGGGGCATGTTTGCTCTCAAAAAGTCACAGCATCTTTTAAGTCAGCCGGTGCATCACTACGGGGCTGTGCAAGAGGAGCTGGACCCTGGGGACGAGCCCTTCTGCCCAGAAGGACAACCAAAGCCCGTCCCCTTCCCCTTCAGGGCTAACGGTCTCGTCTCTGTTTGACTTCTAGGCGTGGAGAAGCAGCACCGGCCGCAGGAGAGCCAGGATGGCTCACAGCCAGCTGCCCAACGACTCCTGGCAGAACGGCTCAGCCCCTCTCTTCACCGGCCTGGACCTCCTCCTGGAGCTGAAGCCCCTCTTCATCCCGCTCTATGCCACGCTGGTGGCAGTGGCGTGCACGGGGAACCTCTTCCTCATCCTCCTCATCGCTCTCACCAAGAAACTGCACTGCACCACCAATTTCCTGATCGGGAACCTGGCGGTGGCCGACTTCATCATGTGCCTCGCCTGCGTCCCCCTCACCGTCTCCTACGCCTTCGAGGTGCGGGGCTGGCTCTTCGGGATGTTCATGTGCTACTTTGTCACCTTGATGCAGGCCGCCACCGTCGTCGTCTCGGTGCTGTCCCTCACCGCCATCGCCATTGACCGGTACGTTGTGGTGGCGTACCCTATTCGCAGGAGGATAAGCCGCAGGTCCTGCATCTGCCTCGTGGCCTGCATTTGGTTACTCTCCATCGTGGCCTCTGTTCCCACGTCGCTGCACACCCACTACTTGGATCTCAACACCATTGGCCACGACATGATCATCTGTGAAGAGTTTTGGAAGCACGAAGAGAGAGCGCGACTGTTGTACTCGTGCTTGATGCTCCTCTTGTCCTACCTGCTCCCGCTTTTGGCGATATTGGTCTCCTTCTGCGCCATCACCTACCACCTGCGGAGGAGGAACGTCCCGGGCGCTGCCTACCCCTGCCAAGAGAAATGGACCAAAACGAAGCAGAAGACCTTCCGGGTGCTCACCATCTCAGTGGTGTGCTTTGCCGTCTGCTGGCTGCCCCTCCAGGTGGTGAACTTCATCAGAGACATCGACGAGGAGTTCACCATCCTGGACAAGAGGTACGTCAACGTCGTCCAGCTCTCCTGTCACCTGATTGCCATGAGCTCTGCCTGCTACAACCCTTTCATCTACGCCTCCCTCCACGACAAGTTCTGGTTCCACCTCAGCAGCTTCTTCTACCGTAAGAAGAAGAGCTCCAGCATCATGTCCTGCAAGGCTTCTCGATTCACTACCTGCTCCACCCTGGCCGATGCTCCTGCTGGCGCCTTGGATAAGATAGCTTTGCAGACGAGATTCTCTTGCTGAAGGACCCCAAAAGATCAGTTTTGCTTTTGGACCTGGTGTGCAGTTTGCTTTAGACTGGACCTAGGAGGTGGTGGCTGGTGGCGGTGGTTTGTTGCTGTTCCCAGGCAAGGTCTCTCGTGCCTGGCCGGGAGAGCGGGCACAAGGGACCAAACCGATGGGCTTTGTGTCCTCGAGGAACGGCTTTCCTGAGCAGCTCAAGGGTGCTTTGTTCTTTGGGGAAAACAAACCGGTGCAACAACAAACACTGCAGCCAGGCAAAGGCAGAGTAATTCGGAGCGGGACGTACCTGCTAGCCCACGCACAGACACGCCGGAGCAGCAGGAGGTGTTTCCACCGGAGCCAAGTCAAGAGACAGCTGGGAAGACGCGAATGCCAATGAAACAGTTGCTTGGCTCGCTGAAACAGAACAACGGGTGAGTATCCAGATTAATGACCGGACACACAACTAGCCTGATGCAGTTCTCTGTCAGCCTCAGTTTCCAGCAATGCCAACGCATTGGCACGGCCAAAGTCTGCCTCCGTTTCTGCGCTTGCTCTACGCGCCGAGGAGAAACGCCTGAGCCACAGCCCTGCCCGTGCCAGGTCGTGCCGGGGCGGTGGGGCAGGGAAGTGGGGGCTGCCTGGGACCGTCGGCTTTTACAGACCTTACCTCAGGTCACGGCTGGAGATGGAGTATATACCCTGTATCTCACGTCGTGGCTGGGGAGGGGGCCTATACCCTAGGTCCTGAACCACCTTTGGGTGTAGCGTGTACGCCCTGTATCTCGACTCACGGCTGGGTATAGGGTACATCCCCGGTACCTTGAGTCATGGCTGGGTATAGCAGGCGGCTAGTGCGGCGTTTGGAGCACAAAGCCTTCTCCCCACGGTTTATTTAGGAGGTGGGTCAGCTTCTACGCCAGACAAACACAAACTGGGTGCGTTTAAAAAACCTCTTTGGAGAGTGTACGTCTTCATTTTGTAGGATAAAGATTGTTCCTAAGCAACAGATAGCGCTTTCTGCCCCTGGAAGAACACCGGCTCTCCCAGGTAGCAGTTAAATTGCCGTGCAGCTTTTCTTTTCACTTGCGGTTCCTTGGTGAAAGGACAACATACGTTCAGAAATGTGCATTCTTCAGTCGGAGAGTGGGTGGGAGCACGCGGCCACCGAAAGCAGACGGCTTGTTTTGAATGGGGGAGACTTTCTTAACCTGCTTGACCTTCCGAAGAAGCCACCTCTGTAACCAGACTGGAGGGTCCCAGTTTCTCCAGCCGCTAGCCTGCAGCCAAACAAGGCAGACGGGGCTGGGCACAGCAGCGAAATCATCACTGTTCTTCACAGCCAAGTAGGACTCCAGGGGATGGGGCACCCAGAAAGATCTCAAGTGATGTGTTTGCTGGGGAAGCTGTCTCAGTCTCTGCTCTCCGGGTAGGTCAGGATTGTGCACATCCATGTTCAAGGTCCTTGGGTGGAGGTGGGAATTCTGGTGATGGGCTGCTCCAGCCTAGAAACTGCCGGAGAAAGGGTGGGTTTGCTTGTCGGACGCTGCTTGCTGTCTCCAGATGCCTGGTGTGTCTGTGGTCCATCAGCCGGGTCCATGCAAGCAGCACGCTCAGAAGGCAGCGTCTCCTTGCACCCAGATGCCCAACTCGGTTTTAACCTCTTGGTTTCCCAGGAGGAAGCCGTTGGGGACAACCCACGGGCACCGGCATCACCATTAGCACCAAGTCTCAGGGTCACGACCGGTTCTGGCCACCCGTGGCCATGCCTTTGGTTCACCATCTGCTGCTGCGCTCCATGGGGCTAAGCCATGTATTGCCCGGGGCTAAGTCATGTATCGCTTGTCCTCATGTCCTCACCACCGCACAAAAGCTGCCCGTGGCGTTGGCCATCACTCATGCTTTCACAGAGCAGCTTGGCATCCTCCAGTGCCGACGCAGCTGGCCGGACCCTGACAGGATCCCTAATCCGCTCTCGTTATGCCCAGGCATGAGCTCGTCTTAAAAAAAAAGTCTTCCTGCGGAGACCTTTACGGTGGTCCTAGCAGGACCATCTTGCCTTCTGTGGTGCGACCAGCAGAGACAGGGACCCATCAAACGCAAAGTGACGTGGATGCTTGTGATCTCCGTTGCGGACCTGCAAAGCGGTGAACTCTGCGTCTCGCAGCTTTCCGGCGGCCGCGCAGGGTTGTGCGGGAGGCAGAGTCTGGATTACTTGTCCGGGAGGAGCAAAGCAAACCGGGAGGCGCACCGCTTGTCCTTCCTTCCAATAAAGGCTTAAAAAGCTGGGGCTGTGTGTTTGTATTGATCAGAACCCAACAACAACAAGCTATCCTTGACTGCAGCTTAATCGCATCCCAGGAGGACAGCCGACTGGGACGTGTTTATCTCTGTTGCGGTCACCGGGGGTGGCAGATCCTCGGGGGTCGCTCTGAGATCGGGGCTGGAGAAGCGAGTCCGGCTGCGGCTTTGGGAGAGCTCT